AACTTGACACTTACTAGCTGTGGGACCCTAGGCAAGTCACTTAACCCCACTGCCTAGCAAAAAACAAACCACAGAGAGAGAGAGAGAGAGAGAATGACAACATTGAGACAACATATCAAAACCTATGGAACACAGTAAAAGCAGTGACTAGAGGAAAATTTATATCTCTAAATGCTTACATCAATAAAATAGAGAAAGAGTAAACTAATGCATTGTGTATACAATTAAAAAAACTAGAAAAAGAACAAATTTTAAAATTCCCACTTAAACACTAAATTGGAAAGCCTAAAAATTGAAGGTGAGATTGATAAAATTGAAGAGTAAAAAAACCATTGAATAAGGGCAGCTAGGTGTTGAAGTGGATAGAATACCGGCCCTGAAGTCAGGAGGACCTGAGTTCAAATATGACCTCAAACCAAACAATTCACACTTACTAGCTGTGTGACCCTGGGCAAGTTACTTAACTCCAATTGCCTTTTAAAAAAAAACAAAAAAACCACATTGAATTAATAAATAAAACTAGGAGTTGGCTTTATGGAAAAATTAAAATAGATAAACAATTGGTTAATTTGATTTTTAAAAAAAGGGAAATAAAAATCACTAGTATTAATAATGAAAACAGTGAATATATCACCAACAAAGATCAAATTAAAGCAATTATAAGGAGTTATTTTTCCAATTATATGCCAGCAGTATTCTTTCAATCCAATGGCACTGGCCTTCTGGTTGTTCTACAGGAAGCCTTCCCTACCCCTCTTAATTCCAAGGCCTTTCCTCTTTTAATCATTTGCTATTTATCCTGTATATAGATCACTTTGTATATATGTGTTTGTATATTGTTGCCCCTCCCCACACATTAGATTCTAACTCCTTGAGTTTACATAGTAAGTCCTTAATAAATGTTTGATTGATTAACACATAATAGGTGCTTAATGATTCTTGCAGATTTCATTTTAAAAGGCAAGAGTCACAGTTTTGGTTGAAAATGGAAATTTACCTATAGCCATATAAAAAAAAATTCTCTAAATCACTATTGATTAGAAAAATGCAAATAAAAATAACTCAAGCTACCACTCTACATCTATCAGATTATCCCACATCTATCAGATTGGCTAATATGACAAAAAAGGAAAATGATAAATGTTGGAGTGAATGTGGGAAAACTCCTCTGTTAGTAGAGTTGTGAACTGATCCAACCGTTTTGAAGAATAATTTGGAACTATGCTGGTCTGTATCCCAAAGAGATTAAGGGGGGAAAAAAAGGAACCTATTTGCCCAAAATCATTTATAGCAGCTCATTCTGTGGTAGCAAAGAACTGGAAATTATAGGGATGTCTATCAGTTGGGGAATATGATTGTAATGGAATACTAGTATAATATAAAAAATAATCAACAAGATGATTTCAGAAAAACCTGGAAACACTTACATTTACTGATGCAAAATCAAGTGAGCAAAACCAGGAAAACATTGTACGTAACAGCAATATTGAACAATGAATGATCAGCTGTGAATGACTTAGGTATTCTCAGCAATACAATGATCCAAGACAGTTCTAAAATATTCCTAATGAAAAATGATGCAGATTGAAGCATATTATTTTTCACTTTTTTTTTCATGGATTTTTTTGGGGGGGATGTCTGTCTTCTTTCACATTACTAACATGGAAATGTTTTGTATGATTACACATGTATAACCTATATCAAATTGCTTAATGTCTGGAAGAAGGGGAGAGAATCTGAAACTTTTTTTTAATCAATGTTCAAAATCGTTTTTACATGTAATTGGGGACAAAATATTATTTTTTTTTTAAAAATGGAGATTTACAAATGGGCTCTAATTGTGTTTTCGATGTATCCAAAGGTCCTATGAGGTAACAAAAGGTCATAAGTGACAGGTCCACCAGCCTGGTTTGCTGACTTGGTTTTGTACAATTTTGTACTTTCCAAAGCAATGTTATTCCTCTTTCTGTATTGGATATTTTTGTAGAGCAGGAACCATCACAGATTGCTTCTGGTTTAATCTCCTTCCCTTCACTCCTAGAATCACAGGATTTAAAGTGCACCCATCTTGGGTTATCCAGGCTACCCCCATTTTGAAGATAAGAAACTGAGGCTCCTAAGTGAAGAGTCACACTGGCAGTAAGGAGCAGAGTCAGTATTCCAACCAGTCTCCTGCCTCCAAATCCAATGCTTTTTTTCCACTACGCCTGCGAAGCTATAAGCTAGTATACTTTTATAATCTTAGTGCCATTAGGTTAGGTATTAAAATTAAAAGGATTTTTAATGACTTAGGTTGACTGCCCTTGCTTCATTGCATAACATTCAATAGTTGGGTCCATCTTAAACAGTGAGGGAACAGAAATCATGAGAATGGGGTTAACTATAGAACAAAACCCTTCACCTGGTGGTCTGTTGTGTTGGAAACCATTGTTAAAACATTTCTGTCCTGGTGAAACAAGGGGATCCAGAAATCATAATGTAACATTAAATTACAACTCAGATGAAATAGCTGTTAAATCTGAATCACCTCTGATGCCTCCTTGGAACTTGAGTCAATTGAGATGAGGATTGAATCACAGTGGCAGTTAACATTAGGCAGTGTTCTAAACGGACCAGTAGGTGGCATGCTAAGTATCAGGATCAATTTTACTGTGAAAATGTAACCATTAAGTCAACGATACAGCATTGGGATGTCTGTAGAAGAGGGTCTGTGTAACTTAAATGTGAAAATAATCACTAACCTTTAACTTTCTTTCAGTTATGTAAAAACATTCTAATAGATCCATAGGTTTCAGACTGCCCTTGGGATCCATGACAGACAAAGAAGCCTAAAATAAGTTAGTTCATAAAATCTAGACTAGACTTTCGTGATTGACTTTGTCAAATGTTATGTTTCCAGGGCACTTTAAAAAATGAGACAAATCCCTAAGACTGTTAGAACTTTTGTGCTCTAGGACTCATTTTACACGGGAAAACCAGCTGTGACTAATTAGGGAATCAGGACTGACCTGTGTATTTAAATGCCATGAATGTGGATATACACTACTCCTAATACAAACTTACCAGCATTAAGTTTCAGTAAGATGACATAGGGACACAGAACCATGGTTGACGTATTACCGAGTCAGAACTTGAAACCAAAGGCCAATGTGCTTTCCCTTGTACTAAAAATAGCCAGGTGTGGACGAAGTAGTGCTTTCCTTTGATAGGCCACAAACCTTTGGGCCCATGTAACTTGGCAAATACAAACCTAGAGCTGTCCCCATCGAACCTCACTACAAAGCCAAGTAGTTTTACTCAAAAGCTAAAGGTTCATTAGTAAGACTTCACATTATTGATCAAACCAATCCCAAGGCGAAATGATTTCCACAGGGCACAGCAGGCCAGCTAGTATTCCTTCAACCCCACCTATATTGTTAGTGGTTTGCAAGCTTCCCAAAACTTTCTAGCTCCCTAATCCACAAACTAGCCCTATAGCAACATAAATTCTTGCTCACCTAATTTCTAGTGGAATTGTTTTAACCCAATCAACTAATGTAGCTGGGATACCCTGGGAAATCCTTTGCTTCAAGTTCCATGGTTAACCTCACTCGACGCAGGCACCACAGAGACCCTGATCCAAAGACTAAGATTCTAAGCCTGAAACAAGCTAATGGTAAACCTCCTGCTTAAGAGAACCATCTCTATTTATACAAATATAAATAAACCATTACCTACGCAAGACTGAAAATTTCAGCAGCTTTCATTACCTTTGTACTTCTATGTTCAGTATATACTAAAATGACTAATGGGCCCTTACGGACTTCCACATTTGCACTCCTTAACATTAACTTTTGGGGACAGCTGGGAGGTGCAGTGGATATAGCACCGGCCCTGAAGTCAGGAGTTTAAATCTGGCCTCAGACCAAACACTAGACACTACTACTAGCTGTTTGACCCTGGGCAAGTCACTTAACCCCAACTGCCTAAAAATATAAAAACTTTACAACTGCAGATCAAATCACCCTACACCCCCAACCCACTGTATAGTTCCTTACCCATGCATGCACACCTGTAAACAATCACCCTTTCAAGAAACTGTGACTCATGTGTATGGTGCCAATTTTAAATAGATTTTATTCTCCAGGACAAGAATTGCATTTCCACTTGTTTACAGTACTGATAAAGTGCAATGTTCTTCACTTCTCTCCCTCTGCACACATTCAAGTATTCAGAATGCCCAGATTATACAGTAGCTTATTCTGTTAACTTTTAAAATGCTACTGCCTCGGCTATAAATTTGAGTCCTTCAATTTTTGGAAAGCTGTGTGGAATGCTCTTTCTTCTGTGTTTAGTCGACCTCTTCAATGGTGGGTCCAGAAGAAGCACCTCCAGATGGGGCTGCTCCACCCCCTGGGAACCCACCAGGCATGCCTCCTGGCATGCCCCCTGCACTCTGGTACAGCTTAGTGATGATGGGGTTGCAGACCTTCTCCAATTCTTTCTGCTGATGCTCAAATTCTTCCTTCTCAGCAGTCTGGAAGAGAACAGTTTCAGAAAGTAGATTCAGAATGTTCAAGATGGAGGTTGGACACTAATCACCTAAACAGGTATGGATTGGGGGGAGGATGTAAAGGATCTCAAACATCAAGTTTCATATGGTCGCTCAGACATCCAAGGAAGGATCTTTGCCAACACAAGTCACGTGACTTCTGGTGGAAACTACGAATGGTTTGGGGTAATACTATCATCATAGCGGCCATTTTTATTTTAAAACTAAGTTATGAACCATTTAAGACTTTAAAGAACTAGGAAGCCCTCTGTACTTTCTGCCCTTGCTATCTTAACATAAATAGCATTACTACAAACACTTCTAAAGTCACTAAATCCCCAAATGCATTTAGTGCAGTATAAGCACTAACAGTTTAAAACTGACTTTTGGTACAGGTAACAGGCATCCAATGACAGTTCATCTCCCCAGGATACTGACATACCTGGTTCTTATCCAGCCAGTTGATTATTTCATTACATTTGTCTAGGATCTTCTGTTTGTCTTCATCACCAATTTTGCCTTGCAGTTTTTCGTCCTCCACAGTAGCCTTCATGTTGAAAGCATAAGATTCGAGGGAATTCTTGGAAGACACCTTGTCTCTCTGCTTCTCATCCTCAGCTTTGTATTTCTCAGCCTCCTGGACCATACGCTCAATGTCTTCTTTGCTCAGACGGCCTAAAAACACAAGAAAATATCTTTGCACACTTTCTCACTACCATACTTCACCACTGGCGACTAAAAATCCAGCTGGGGATAATAAAAGCAGTGGTCGCTCAGACAGCCAAGGAAGGAACTTAAGCCAACATTAGTTTTTCAACTTCTAGTGGAAACTACGAATGGTTTTGCATCACTTTCATCATAGCAACCGCTTTCTGAACATACATAATATGCCTTAGTGCTAGCTACTAAGGGCAAGGCTCTCTTAGTCTTGAGTTTTACTACAAATTGGATATCCTTTTTTTCAGATGGTTAGGTACCACTCGGACCAAAATGTTGGGCCAGAAGTGAAAGGACACGAAGCCTTACCTTTATCATTGGTGATGGTGATCTTGTTCTCCTTGCCTGTGCTCTTATCCACAGCAGAAACATTGAGGATGCCATTTGCATCAATGTCAAATGTTACTTCAATCTGAGGAACACCCCTGGGTGCTGGGGGGATTCCTGTGAGTTCAAACTTCCCAAGCAGGTTGTTATCCTTTGTCATGGCTCTCTCACCTTCATAAACCTTTGGGAGGGTTAAGCTAGTTAGTGGAGCAGCTTATCATTTGCTAACCCACCACACCCGTGTAATCAGGGGGCTTAATAATCATTGTGTGGCACAAATGACAGTATCTGACACATGCACTTACCTGAATAAGCACACCAGGCTGGTTGTCTGAATAGGTGGTAAAGGTCTGTGTCTGCTTGGTGGGGATGGTGGTATTACGTTTGATAAGAACTGTCATAACTCCACCAGCTGTTTCAATTCCAAGGGAAAGAGGAGTGACATCCAACAGCAGCAAGTCCTGTACATTCTCAGATTTATCTCCAGACAAAATGGCAGCCTGGACAGCTGAGGAGGAAAAAAAGGGTTTGGTAAAGAAAACAAAGATAAACCTTGTTAACAGCTTTCTAGGAGGCCTGTTCGCTCAGACATCCAAGGAAGGTACTTGGCCATCATCAGCAAGCTTCCGGTGGAAACTACGAATGGTTTTGGAACATTCATCACAGCGAACCTGCTTATGTCAAGTTAACTAAGTGAAAACCTAGCAATTTTGAGTAAGGGAAGTTACCTGCACCATAGGCAACAGCCTCATCAGGATTGATACTCTTGTTGAGCTCCTTGCCATTGAAGAAATCTTGCAGAAGCTTCTGGATTTTGGGAATGCGAGTGGAACCACCCACCAGGACGATGTCATGAATCTGTGATTTATCTAGCTTGGCATCTCTTAAGGCCTTTTCCACAGGGTCTAGCGTGCCACGGAAGAGATCAGCATTCAGCTCTTCGAAACGGGCTCGGGTGATTGATGTATAGAAATCGATACCTTCATAGAGGGAGTCAATCTCAATACTGGCTTGGGTACTAGAGGAGAGGGTACGCTTTGCACGTTCACAAGCAGTGCGCAGACGACGAACAGCCCTCTTGTTCTCACTGATGTCCTTCTTGTGCTTTCGCTTGAACTCGGCAATGAAATGGTTGACCATTCGGTTGTCAAAGTCCTCCCCACCCAAGTGGGTGTCCCCAGCTGTGGACTTGACCTCAAAGATGCCATCTTCAATGGTAAGGATAGAAACATCGAAAGTACCACCTCCAAGGTCAAAGATCAACACATTTCTCTCGGCACCAACCTGTTAACCCAATGACAAGGTTATCAGTTGGGGGGAAGGAGTTAGGGGTTAAGTGACATTAATTGAAATTCACAGTAACTTTTAAATTATACATACCTTTTTGTCCAAGCCATAAGCAATAGCAGCAGCAGTTGGCTCATTGATGATTCGGAGCACGTTGAGACCAGCAATGGTTCCAGCATCTTTTGTGGCCTGACGTTGGGAGTCATTGAAATAGGCTGGTACTGTGACCACAGCATTTGTGACAGTCTAGGTAAATAAGGTCAAGTTTAGTAGGACAGCTACACATTTTCAATTTTGTCTGAAATCCTATACATACTAGCACTACAATGGCCATTTCAACTACCTGAGACACTAATGCAAAGTAATTAAACATTGTCAAACTAAATCAAGCTCGCTCAGACATCCAAGGAAGGTTCTTGCCATCATTAGCAAACTTCTGGTGGAAACTACGAATGGTTTTGGTACCAATATCATCACAGCAAGCCAGCCTCAGAACACCATAAGACAACACTAAATAGATATTAAGAATGGGATGTGTACTGAGAAAACCTACCACTACATGTATCATTTGTGCTATTCTAAGAAGCAGACACAAAATGTTTACTTGACTAATTTTACAGGACATGTGTGTACTGTTCAATGTAATTTAATCATAATAGCTTAAAAGATTGCTAACTCATACCATAACCAATTTGTCAATACCCAAGCATTACCTTCCCAAGGTAGGCTTCAGCAATTTCTTTCATCTTGGTCAAGACCATAGAAGATACTTCTTCTGGATAGAAACTTTTGGTCTCCCCTTTGTATTCCACTTGGACCTTAGGCCTGCCTGCGTCATTCACCACCGTGAAAGGCCAATGCTTCATGTCTGACTGTACAACTGCATCATCAAATCTGCGACCAATCAGACGTTTGGCATCTGAAACAAAGATGAGGCCTTTAGTTTTATACATTTCAATATAACCTGCCTATACCTTTGTTTGCATTCAGTGACCTCCATCCATTTCTCTTCACATTTTCAGACACCCTACTTTTTCCAGCAAATTGTTATTCTCAGTAATTGCTATTCTCCTCCCACAATACATTAGTCCCCATGGATTTAAGCATTTAATTTTTCAGCTAGTTTTATCTTAAACAAGGAATACTATGTTTCTAACTCTAAGGCATTTCCTCCTTTTTATGTCCTTTTTGAACGTGGGCAGAGGGTTTGCTTGTGCTAGAAAAAAATGAGTGTTTTGGGCCTTTGCCCAGGAATGTCAAAGGGAACTGAAAACAAAATAGGCTTTTGGGTTTGGAA